TAAATGAGTGACTTGCATACAGTAAAGAATCATTCACTGTGTCTTTGTATAGAAAACACGAAATGAAATAAATTATTTGTTATCTTGTCTGAATTTTGTTTGTAGGGTCAGAGAAAACATGGTGATACCTTCCAAAACCTACAATACTCTTTCAAGTGTCAAAATCATCAATAAGAAACTCATAGATTTTCATCCTTCTCGTACACACAACAATCAAACATTTTACATTTTAGGTGAAATTAATCAAATGAGGTAAATATGAAAATAACCTAAATCACCATTGATCCAAAATTTACAAATCCGCGATTAAAGAAAGTGGAAAAAAGTTAGAGAAACATTACCCCGAGTTTGGGATTAAGCGGTGGATTAACTTCCCCAAACAAATACTTAAAAAATCCCTCCATATTGAGTCCCTGGCGATGAAATATGTTGAGGTGCCTCGACTCGTGGAGGCTATTCATGATATCCTGGGCATCAGCAACCGTGGCATTCTCCTCTTTCTGGACCTCGACGAGGAAGCGCTGCAGCTGATCGACACCCATTACGCCGTTATCCGAGTACAGCTCAAATAGGGCCTTGATGTCGGCCGGCGCCTCGGCCGCAGCCATGCGGAACCGGCGGCGGAAGCAGAAGCACACTTTGTAAGTCTGCTTCGACATCTCATGAGAATCGAATTGTAGAGAAATGNGATCCGGCGGCGGAAGCAGAAGCACACTTTGTAAGGCTGCTTCTACTTCTGATGAGAATCGAAGTGTAGAGAAATGAAGGGAAATTGAGATTCGTTTATTGGGAAAATTTTGGTTTGCTTATAGAGAAAAGGGAAGGTATTATGGTTTGATAAAGGATAATTTTGAGGTGGGACCTCCACATGCGCCAGCGGCCAGCTAAGGCAGTTGGTGTTTCTCTGTTTGGTTTAGACAAACATGCGTTTGTATTATGTACACAAGAGACTAATGGATTGTAATTAGAGTCGATTTTTGTATGTTTTAGGATAATTAGCTCGAGCTTGCGCTACTACATTGGAAGTATTAATGTGAAGATTCGAAACTTTCGATGAATAAGAATGGAAATTTAATTGTGTATCTTGCAATAATTTTCATTGCTAAAAAAAGAAAAAATTGAATTGGACGATTTTGGAGCGGATATTTCTTGCTTAAGGAAAAGCAAAAAAATGGGTTTTTCTCTCTTAAGCGAAAATGATTTTTCTTGACACGAAATTAAAAGTCTACACTTGTATGTACAAAAGATACTAGATGTCAAAGTGGGAGCTGGATTTTTTTTTAAAAAAATCAAATAAAAAGAAGACGACCTTGAAAACTCTACAATTATCAATTTTTTTTTTTTCTCCCTCTCTCTCTTTTAGGTTCCGTTGTATCTTTCTATACTCATATTTGTTTTTTTGTAACTCAAGAATACTAAGCTAAATTAATAAGCAATAGAATGACGATGAAACATCATTTTTTAAGCTTTATTAATAAAGTCTTGTTTTTT